GCCTCCACGCGGGCTCACAATTTATCTAAGAATTGAAAAACTTGACACCACGCGGGCCGACGATTTAACTAGAGATTAAGTTAGAAAGATCTCACAAAGGGTCCTTAAGCAACTTTAACATATTTTAAAGTTTCAAGCCTTGCTATGCTTTGCAAATTTTTAGATTTTAGCTCCTTTTTGTTCTTTTACTTAGCTTCACTTAGCTTCCTTGCTTTCAATTCTCCTTTGCTCAACTTCCTTTGCTCAATCCACCTAGCCAAATATGAACAAACACAATAAGTAACAAAAGTAAAATAAAGTAAAAACACGATCAAAAAAGTACTAATTCCTATTTGTTTCCAAAACACGGCGTTGCCAATTTGAATCCCCGGCAACGGCACCAAAAACTTGGTGGCCTGTCATGGGGTACAATCAAATTTGTGCAAAATAGTGTGACCAAGTTTTAAATATATAAATGCCACTACTACCTCTAACTAAAAATATAGCTAGGGTGAGTAGGAATCGTCCCAAAGGATTGTGGGTGCATTAGCAATGGAAACAATGTATAGGATTAGTAGGTCGAGTGATTAAGAGATGGTGTGTTTGGTTGATTAGACTACAAACTAAACTAAACAAGTTCAATGTAGAATAAGCAAATCAAATGAAATTTAGAGAAAACAAGAGAGTGAGGTCTTGGGGTTTAGAGGTTACCACTAAACATCACCATTCTAGACAGTCAATGCATAATTAATGAGGGGAAACATATGTTGCAATTTAAGAGTGTGTGATTGATTGTTTCAACAAGTATGGAGACCAATTAAGCATATATTGTCTAAGCAACCCAGTGAATAGCACAATACATCAAATTAGGCCATTAATCCTTCCTTTAAGCTCACAATCCAAACACATCACATGGTTAGAGAATAATACTATTTGCATTCATAAGCATGGAACATCAAACAACAAGCATGGATTGTCCTCCCATCTAACAACTAAGGCAACTACACTACAACTAAGCTAGGGGCATGAAAATTAAACTAAAGGAGAAACACAATCCATCAAGACATGAGTATGAACCATCAAATAAACCATAATAGTATTCCATTAAGCACTATGCCTTGACAATCTCTAGATCCATAGCATCAACACACGTAAACATGCATCAATAACACAAAAACTAAAGATAAATACATAAACATCTATTCTAGCATATATAGACATATGGATAGAATAAAATGATCAATTAGAAGTATTAAACCACATAAATTATTGAATAAATAAGATTCATATATAAAATAAGTGTCAAGACAAGGTTACAACATAAATCCCCTCAAAATACAAAGCATTAGAGTCTAGAAGGCATGCTTAGGGCTAACTTTAGCCCCAAGAAAATGTTTAGCCACTCATTGAAGTAGTCATCCAACCCTCAAAGGCTATCTCCATGGTAGGAATGACCTCCTTCTTGATGGAAACCCTAGAAGAATGAAAGAACTCCCAAGAATGTGTCTCTAGCTTCTCCTCCTCTCTTTTCTTCCTCTTTAAGAATGTTTCTAAGTCTATGAGATGATATATGAGATATGTATATGATATGATGTAAAAGAGGCTCAAAATTCTTATATAGGTAGGTTAAGTGTCACACCCAATGGTCTGGATTCGTGCACTAGGGTCCTTGTAATGATTGCACCATGAGCCAACTTTTAATGAGCTGGAACTTTTTTTTTTCGGACTTGAGGAGGTTCGATCGATCGAACTATTCTGAGATCAATCGAACTGTGTTGAGATCCATCGAATGCTGCAGAGATCAATCCATCCTTCGCGGCGCCTTTTTGAATAAAGATAAATCTCTGAGATATTTTGGGATATTTTGGGAAAGAGACAAAAGTGGTAGGTGGGGTGGCAGGTGTGGATAAGATCAAACATGTTCGATCGATCGAAGAATGGTTGGATCGATCAAACATTATGGAATCTTTTGGATCAGGACAAGGGCTTGGATCCATCTTAAAGTGTCCAGATCGATGTTGCTTCGATCGATCGAAGTGATGTTAAGATCGATCGAACTTGCTGATTTCCACACTTTTCTTCATTCTGCTTCCACTTTGCTCTTTTCTTCCATCCAGCTTGAGTTAGCTTCTTTAATGCTCTTATTTAGCTGAATTAACTTATTTTTGGGATAAGTGCTTGAAAAGGGCAATAACATGAAATTAGTTTAAAATGGGAAAGTAAGATAGATAAAAGTCTTAGAATACCTAAGCTTAAGGGGTTTAATTGCGCACTTTTCAGCGCTCATCACCTAAGTACACTTAAACATGCCATTGACACCTTTTCATCCTTATCTAGCCTAACAAATCAATCAAAACAAATCTCAGGTTTTCCTGTCTAGTGTTAATGATAACCTAAATGCTGCCATCATTTCCCTTCTTGGCTTTGAGAAAGGTGCACTACCTGTTAGGTACCTTGGGGTGCCCCTTGTCTCCACTATATTGAGTTCTACTGATTGTAGGTCACTAATTGATAGGATCACTTCAAGAATTGGTCACTAGACTAGCAAAAATCTCTCTTTTGCTGGTAGGCTTCTGGAGCTCAAAGTTCATCCTTCCAGCAAGTATCACACATGAATTGGAAAGTATCTTTGGTGCATTTCTTTGAACTGGTCCTATTCTAAAAACTTCAAGTGCAAAAAATGCTTCGGACAAGTGCTGTCTACCAAAAATAGTAGGTGGATTAGGGCTACCTAATCTCACAGTATGGAATGAAGTTGCAATAATGAAACAATTCTGGAGAATCATAAGCTCAAATGACATACTTTGGGTGCAATGGATTAACACTTACTTGTTGAAGGGCAGAAGCATTTGGGAGGTGAAAGTGCCAGGTCAGTGCTCATGGAGCTAGATGAAGCTACTTAATCTCAGAAGCAGCATCATGCCCTTTGTCAAATTAGAAATTGGTGATGGCAAAGCAAGCAATTTCTGGTTTGACAGTTGGTCTCCTTTGGGTCCTCTATATCATCTTGCATCCCCTCAACAGATTTTGCACTCTGGCCATGATTCTAAAACCAAACTCAGCTCTTTCATTACAAACTCTACCTGGAACTTCCCCACTTCTATACTATACATTATACTTCAATTATAACCAACCACAGCCTTGCCAACCCCCATTACTCAAAGAAGAGACAAGTTCATTTGGACACGTACCTCTTCAACCAACTTCTGTATAGCTGCAACAATGAAATACCTAACCAAGCACCTCCCAACCCTGCCATGGACTCACTTAGTTTGGTCCAAACCATTAATTCCTAAGCAATCCCTTACACTTTGGGTTGCAATCCAGCAGAGACTCCCAACCTTGAATAGAAGGTGCACAGCACACATCGATGCCACAACTTGTATCCTCTGCAATGCTGAACCAGAGTCCCACGACCACCTCTTCTTCAAATGTTCATTCACCAGCCCTTATGGACATTTTTACAAGCGATATGTGGGTTTTACATTCAGCCATCATCATGGAATGACTTGATCAATTGGGCCTCCCACCACTGGAGAGGCAAATCAGAGTTCCACAATAATTCTGTATCTAAACTTAGCCTAGCAACTCTGGTCTACAACATCTTGATTGAGCGCAATAACAGAATTTTTCAAAAAAAGCACCAATCTACAAATTCAGTTCTTCATATGACACTGGATTCCATCCGCTCCAAACTTCTGAATTCTTCAATCACTGATACATTGATTGCTAGCAGAGTCGCAGCCAAATGGGAACTCCCTGAAAGTGTCACACGGCCACCGGCGAAACCACCAGATCAAAGTAACTGAAAGAGGAGACTCGTGATGGAGAGAGTTTCCCGTGTTCAATGGATTGATTGGGATCCTTAACGGTTCTTGTTGAACAGTTTAATTGTTAGGTGTAATGGGCTTATTGCTCTGGCTGTATTTCTTGCCTCTGGGCTGTTGTCCTTTTGGCGTGTACTTTTTGTCCATACTAATATATATTGAAAATTTACCTTTCAAAAAAAAAAAAAAGGATTAATACCCTAACTGGCGTCATTAAATGGTTTTCTATGCATTTTAGCATGTCAATGAGAATTTGTCCCCTAATCTACAAAAAGTCGTTGTTTTTTTTTTTATTATTTATTATAAAAAGTGTTATGATTTTATTAGCTAGAAAGAGAGACATTGAAGCAAGATTGCTAGTATGATCCATGTTTTTTACTGCTTCACGTTCACTCATAAAATGCTAGTTAAGTTTAATTACAGGCAATTCCATTCACAAAAATGGTAAGATTATGTTATCGAAAGACAGAGGCAAATGATGCTCCTTTGGATGTACTAAGGTGGAGCCCAAATGAATTCCACTTGAACACATCCAAGGAAGCATAATTCCGCTCCCTTCTATACTCTTCTATCTTCAAAGAGTGTAAAATTTCTATCTTCAAAAAAAAAAAAATTATTTGCAATAAACCCCTTTCATTCAAGTTGTTGCTAAGAAGTAAATGCCAAAGAGTATTGAATGAAAGGAATTTATTGCAATTTTTTTTTTTTTTTGTTCTGTTAAAAGTTCAGTATAAAAAGGTGATACTCACAGTTCTTTTTACAAGATTTTCTTGTGATAATTTGGGTTTTCAAAAAGTCCCAATACAATGTTATTCCCACCTGATGCTTTGGCACTACAGAGTTGTTATTTGCTAAAAGAATTTTTTACATGGATGTAATATGCATATATATTTTTAAAGAGGCCGTCTAAGGCTAGAAAAGAAGCTTAGAAAAACAAAGTTGATAATCAAGTACCAAAAGAACAACTCCATAAGATTAAACTTGATCAATTATAGTAGTTGATAATCTAATTCTTGATAAACAAGAACCAAATCTCTAATTCGACGAGAAGTGAAAAAGTAAAAGAAGGCAAAAACATAAAGAAGAAGGCGGCAAAAACATATAAGAAGATGATAAAAACCAACCAAGTTAGTGAGAAAAGGCTTTGTTTCTTACTGTTGTTGTAACTAGTCCGTGTCTTCATTCTTTGCTCACTTATGGTGATTCAAGACTCTCCACATAAATAATTGATTTACTCTCAAATTTGGTGTCTATGAGCTTCTTTAATCTCTCTCTTCTTGGATTATACATCAATATATTGCTCTGTGTTGTTTCCAACACAAGTTCACCATTCTTCATCAAATATAAGGGCATATTTATAGTTGCTGTCCACTCAAAGGGCATGGTTGGCATGGTTCTTGTCCCGAAAAAACTAGGTGTGGTGATCAATTGAATCCAAGAATCTGGCACACCATATTCTTTCATAGCATATATATCCCATGTGGACTGCCATGCCCTAAAATTATGATACATCACACAAAGCATTCCATTCAAAACCCCCAACTCAACTAGTAAGCTCTGTTTTTCGAAATCCGGCACCATAATCTCCCCAAATTCCTCCTTTGCTAGATTAAGAGAAGCAATGATCTTACCGCTCCCGCAATCAGCTAACCAATGCAACAATCCATTTACAAACACCCCCCTTTCTTGGAATACATTAATATTGCAAGGGATGTCTTGAATTCTTTTCCAGGAATCTGTTTTTCCTGTATAGATCTCAACTTTTGATCTTCTCATGTCATACCCAATATTGATATATCTTTCACCTCTAACCACCTTATAGTTATAGCATCCGTCAATGGACATGTCATACCCAAATCCATAAAAGATAGTATTATACTTACTGAAACAACTTGAATGTGGTGGTAGTTGCTTATATTTTCTGGTTGAAGGGTTCCATAGAAAGTGGTGATGACCAAGACCGATACACAACAAGCCATTACAAGAGCCCACGATCTCATGAACATGTTCCTTCCATGGGAATTCATGGTTAGTCACAACAAAATTGCTTGCTTCTTCCAGGTCTATAGACATATGAGACTTGGAGAATGACACAATGAGCCTATGGTGACCATAGTCCAAGTGCTTTTTGATGAAGTCTGAACCGGTTAGCAAGTTGTTCCATTCTCTGCAAACACACCTGCATCGAGCTAGAGACTTGACGGGTAGTAGCAAGAGAATGTCATAGATGATTTCATTGGGGAGGGCGGGTGGTGTTGGTGGTGGAAGTTTTGTGAACCTCAACCACGTCTTCGCTACCATTCCACAAATGCCATCGCTTTCAACTTTGCTTGCCATTCTTTCAAGCCCTAACCAAAGGGAAACCTAGTCGCGCAAGTATCATTGAATGCTAGTACTCATTTTTTTACTTGTAAACTCTTTCTTTAGTTTTCTTTTATAAAGGAAAACGAAGAGTTACAACTTTCAAGGTAAAGTATATGTACCCAGTATTGTATGCTTTCTCAGACTCCTAAACCCTACCTGCGTTCTAAATTTTGTTATTTGTAGATGCATTGTACTATTTCGTATATTATAAAAATGATAATTAAATTTTATCTTACTTGAAAAAATCTCTCTACCTAGACTTCTTTCACCTAAAAAATTCTAATAAAAATCTAAAATAATTTTCGATTTTTCTCACATAAATGTTATATAAGTTTCTTCTCTAATTATTATCATTATCCAAGTTGATGTATTTAAGTCTTTGACTTTTGAATGACAGTACGGAATATATGATCTCAAGTGATTAATAGGAATTTATTTCGAATTTAGATTCCTTAGAACATTATTATTCTTCATATTTTCATCAAAAGAACAAAAAAGGACTCAGATTTGTTAAATGATTTAAATTAAAATTACATCTATATAATAACTTAAGCTATTATAGTAAATGATTGTTAACATGATTTCAAGTCCCGTATTCAAACCTCACATCACCAATACTTAAAATTGAAATATGTGTTGGACCAACTCTAACCTTTTGCCATGCCCTAGAGTTATGATATATAATCAAAAGACAAATTTAAATTTTAAAAAAAGATTCCAAGATATTTTGGAATGGTGGTAGACCTGCTGCCAATGTGTCTGGTTCTCTAATTTGACGGGATAAAATTCCATCATTGTTTAATCTTCAGAGGAGAGGCATATCTTAACTCCAATCTGTCATAATTATCATAATTGTATGCATGGTTGTGATTATACTGGTAATCTTTTTTTCAAATCCTCCTTTGCTGAAAAGGTATGTTCCGGGCTAGCTAATCTTTCTCATTGGAGATGGTCTTCTGTTGATTCTTTTGAACAGCTAATACAATGGTTTATACACAATGTCAATTCTGGGAATAATAAGTTTATGAGAATATAGTTTTTTTTCTTTTTTTTTTTTGGTTAAATGGGTAAGCTTTGTAAAAGGAAAAAATATGTACATTATAAGCCAAACCAGCACTCCCAAAGGAACATTCTCCAGCCACGTTTGGCCATACAAGGCAAAACAAAGAAACTTACTACAAGGAATTCCAGTACAAAGGCAATGCAAGGAAATATAAGCAAATCCAATACAGCTATAACTAGCCAAGTGTGGGGCAATGGGGAACAGATTAATCCAGTTCATCTGCAATCAGAAGCAACATAGTGAAATATGACAGTAATACAGCAGAGTATATGAGAAAATCAAAGTATGATCATCACAACCATAATAATTATGCTGATATTCCAAGCCTAATCACAGTAGGAACCATGATTGACCATTAGCAAATGAACATCCATGAATGAAGAGCTGTTGCAATGCCTCATGTGAACCAATCTTCCTAAAGTCAGCATTGTTTCTTAGCTTAAGAGAAGCAAACCTTGCTCTAATACATCCCTTGATGAGGTGGATGATATGAAGGGCTGAAGCTGATTTGTTCCTAAGGCTATGTTTGGTACGGTGGGAAAGGAGAGAAAGGATAACATTAGTTGTGAGGGAAAAGAAATGAAAGGGAATGGAAGGATAATTTTAACTCTATTGTGAGGGAAAAGAAATGAAAGGGAATGGAAGGATAATTTTAACTCTATTGTGGTTGGTTGATTAATGAAGAAAAAGAAAGGGAAGGATAATCATCATGTTTGAGAAAAGAAATGAAAAGAAAGGGAAGGAAACTATTTTAATAAATTTACTATTATACCCCTTTATAGTTTAAAAATAAATTTATTGATTTAACTCTCAAATATAAAAATAATATTTTTAGGGCAAATCATTTTAGCTTCCCCAATCGCCTCCATCTCTATTCTCGTTCTCAACTCTGAACTCCCCCCCCCCCCCCCCCCTCTCCTCTAACTGCAAACTACAAAATCTACAAGAATCAGAAGTTCAAAACCCATATATTTCAGTTTATTTATCTGTCTATGTCTACAAGAATCAAAAGTTCAAAACCTATTACCAAACCATATCTTTCAAATTGTTCAAAAAATCAAAACCCATATCTTTTAGTTTCCATCGCCCGTTATTCCAGTTCAAGTTCTCCGTTCGCAAGTTTCAGCCTCTATCTCTCAACTCTCAAGCTTGCCCCCTCTCTTTCTCTCTGTAACTGCTAACTTGTATGTATGGGTTTTGTTTTAATTTTTTTTGTAAATAAACTAATCAAGGTCTGTAATTCTTGTTTTGCAAACTAAATCCTAAAATCAAGTGTAATCTTGATTTTGTGTAAGGATAAATTTGGCATCAGAAATTATACATCAACCCTAGCCTTCCCTTTCTTTCCATTTCCTCCCATTTTTGGGAGGATGCGAAAGTTATTATGCAAACCTTGTGTTATCCTTCCAAAACCATTCATTCCCTTTCCTTTCCTTCCAGCCATTTATGCCAAACACATATTTTTAATCACCCTCCATCACCTTTCCTTTCTTTTCCTCCATTTTCCATTGCACCAAACTGACCCTAAATGCTCTTGCATTTCTCTCCTGCTATATGAAATAGATGGCACATGAGAGAAGAAACTTACATGTAACGAAGTGATTCTGAATCCATGTTGATGAGCACCAAGCTATTAGGTCCTCTAATTGTCTGGTTTAATGTAAAACCTTGCTGCATATTGAACAAATTCCCAAACAATGTTGCTGTATTGACATTTGAAAAAAATATGGTCCATTGATTCACCTTCTGCAAGACACAAGTAGCAAGCATTTGTATAGTGCTTCTTTAACATTGGTTTGGTATCCAGGGTTGCCAATCTCTCCTTGAGTGCCAGCCATGCTATATAACCATGCTTGGGTATATGGTACTTAAACCAAATAATTAAGATGATCCCAAGCAAAGACCAGAGAGGGGGGTGAGAAATACTCCATAGTGAGCTTATGAGAGTAGTCACTTGTTGAGCTGGGGAGCCACTAAACTTGATTATTATCATTTGATGCAAGGGGAATACAATGAAGTTGTGAGTGGAAATCTTGAGAATGGAAGAATGGGATATGGTGTAAAGTGTTTGGAATGTCCAACTGATTATTAGAAATTAGGCTATTAACTCTGACTTGAGGGTCCAGTTGAAGAATTTCCATATCAGTAAGACCAAACTAATGTACAATAGGTCCATTTAGTAACTAGTAGTTAATCCTGATCGGTATGACAATTATACATCAACCTTTGCAATAGCATAAATCATTGTAAAATAGGGCTATTAGTCGATTAAGTCGAACCATTGGGAATGCTAGTTTATGGCAACTAAGACATCTAGAATCACTTTTAGAATGATGAAAGAGTATACAGAGGTTTGTTTGTTTGTCACTAAACTTAGGAATTTAAAATGCATAAAACAATAACTTGCAAGAACTTTAGAGATAAGAAATTCAGAAATAGAAGACTAAGGAAGTGAATCCGCTCCAACCCTTTACACATGCTAGAAAAAGACTAAATTGGGGATAAATAATATATGCAATGGTCATGAAATATATAACAACACATGGTTGCCATATAATTGTCAAGCAGTTCATAAAATCACAAAGCAAGAATAATCCATCAAAGGTTTATATATTTGAACTACCTAAAATATGGTGTAGCCCTAACATACTCACTTAAGCAAGAACTATCAAGTTCCTAATTAAATGATAAAGCACATGAAGCTAGGAATCAAGCATAAACCATCAAAGGGGTTACCTAAGCAATGGACTATCAAAGCTCTCTATCAACATGCCATTAAAACCATTCCACAACCTTATTTACATTGTCACAATGAAAATACAAGCAATATGATCAATAAAAGAAATCATCTAAGACAAGACAATTAACTTAAAATAACCATTTATAGACATTAGAATCCATTACAACAAGTGAGAAGCTCTAGGTCATGGAAAGACCAAAATTATACATTATTATCCCCAAAACAGAATTTAATCTAGAACATGCTTACAAGGGAGGGCTTCATCACCTCCCTAGATGAAGGTTTAGTTACCCATAGATGCACTAGAGGAAGGAGGAAGCTTTAAGACTTTTTCCATTTTTGAGCTCAGCCCTTCAAGCCACACAAAAACCCCTCTCTTCTAATATTTCTCTCTTTAGAAATCTTGCAAAAATGTATGATATCCCTTTATAATGTAACCACCCTCTAATATATATCCTTAGCCATCCATCTACCCCCAAATATGTGGCCATCTAACTCCAAGACCATTTAGAGCAATCCCTAAATTAAGGGATAACATTTGGTGAAGAAAGGTGAAGACCATGCCTGCTTGTCTACTATTTGGCGGGCGCCCGCAGGATCTCAGGAATCGAAGGAGCTCTTTGGACAAAATGGCAGGCACCCGCGATGGCACGGCGGGAGCCCGCTGAGGCTCGGTGGGGGCCCGCGAGACCTGCGGGGCCCTGCGAAGGAAAACATGCTACTGGGATGTTTGGCGGCCGCCTGCGGAGGCCTGTGCTCATGGCATGCAGTCTTCTCCTTGGCCACTTTATATTGGCCTGACGGCACAATCGTCATTCAGAGTACGATGCTGCAAGACTTATACACATGATGGCTCAAGAAACTTGGCTCAAAATAGTCCCCGGCAACGGCTTACTTTAATTCTTCAAAAGATTGTCAAAACCATTCCTTTAGCTACATTCAGGGGAACTGACCTGAAAATAAATGAAAACAAACAAATAAAGCTATACTATGCATTATTATCAACTAATGGACTTAACTAATGCAAATAAGGGTGCTTGAATATGCAATATTCGGCGCTTATCAAATCCATATACTTATGATGTCCCCAACTCCCACTTTATGTCTTACAAGTCCCCTAGCCATAACTCTCAACTTGAGCAGCCTTCTCCAAAATCCTGAGCTATTGGT